CAGCCTCTGAGAATGAATGCTTTGAAGTGAAATATTTGCTGAGAACATATATGGCTCAGGTAAAGGTAGATGGTTGATGTATTTACTCTGCTATTGCGGAATTGAACTCGTAAACTCATATGCTTGTAATAATCTATGCTTCTAAATGCAGACCAGAGCAATGTCCTTCAGTATATCTCTCTGGTCAGCTATGTAATGTGCTATTCCCCAAACCCATAACTCTTGACACGGCTAAAGAAGAATGGCTTGTCGTTCTTCAAGCCAAACTCGCCCCAGTCATCCGTCAACTTATTGTAGCTGTAGAAGCCACGCCAGATAAGTTTGTTGTTGCGGGACCCCTTGCCAGCATTTCGCATAGAGAGATCCATGCGATACATGTACTTTGATCCTACGCCCTCAGTCTCAATAAAGACATCACCTTCTGGATCACGGTCTCGATCATGCTTGCCAGTAGCTGGACCGAGCCGGTCTGTGTCAGAGCCTTCATCGCGGTCAGCAGCAGTGGAAAGACGCCAGCGACCGCGAAGAGCGAGTGCCATGACGGCAGAGGGGAGATGGGGCTGTGCAACGCCGCGGTGGACGTTGAGTTCTTCGCGAGTCAGGTGGTGCACGACATCTGCGGGTTCGGCAGTGCTGAGAAGACTGATGAGCGTGCCGTCACGGAAGAAACGGAGGTATCGATAGTAAGTAACGATATGTATGGGACTGCCCCACGTAGGCTGATTAGTTGAGGCTTGTCCAGTGCGGATATAGTTGACTGTGGAGATGTAGCAGCCATTGAAACGAATTCGTGGTCGTGAGCGCAAAAGTTGCCTCCAGGTTGGGTATACAGAGGGTATGAGAGACTCGGTGAAAGCGATATTGGCATCGCTTCTGCGTTGCACAAGCTCAGAGGGACTAGTTACGAAACCATCCTGAATCTCAGGGCCTTCTTGTTCCTCCTCTGGCAGGTCGTCCCACTCAACGCCCTTTTCAAAACGGTATATCTGTGAGCTGAAACCAACTTCTGAACCAAGAGCTACACGGCGCCAGATGCGCTGCTCTGACGCAACGAGGTATGCGAGGCGCTTGCACACTCGTGATAAGCGGGTGAAGTCTCCGACATCTGTAATTGCAACGTCGCGGAGGACGTGGATGAGAATCTCGTCGGGGAGATCGGCCATAGGACATGGTGGTTCGGGCATGCCCTCGACGGGAGGAGGGGCAGGCTCGATTTTCAGCCCGGAGAAGCTGGCTATGAGTTCGCCTATGGGTAGAGGCTTTACTTCTACAACTTCTTCTGGCTTGGGCGGTTGAGGCGCCTCTGATGCTGATGCTTTAATTGCTGTAGGTGAGACAGGTCGTGGGGCTGTCTTTTGAGGGAAGTGCTTCTCACGATATCTCCGATCAACACCATTGTCAAGCTGTAGACGAGTTAGCTGGGTTTCTAATGGGCGAGATTGTAATCACGTACTCTGTAAGCCTTGCGGTAAAGCTTGAGACTATCACCCATGTTGCCCTGATCCTCCTTGTGCATAGCCTCCTCAAAGTGGTCCAGAGCAGAAACAAGTTTCTTTCCCTTCCGATCATGATGGACATCCTGAGGTGCTTGAGCTACGGGTTCATCTTGATCGAAGGCACGGCTTTGCACATAATCATCGTCACCGTCATCCGCTGGCGCAGGTACATGCTTGTGTGGCAACGATGAGATAGGGCCATGATGAGGGCGTCTTGACGGTCCAGCCGGAGCCTCAGCAGTTTCCGGGTGCTCATTCCTCGTTCTTAGATCTGAGATCCATTTCTGTCGAAAAGACTCGAGTTCCGAGTCGAGCTCGTTTGTGTTTGATGTCATGATGCTCTCTTGTCCGTTATGTCCGAAGTTTATCTTAGAAGCGGTAGGTTATTTATTACAATAAATTCATTATCACGTTGAAGGCTATAAAGAGCAGATGTTGGCCGGTTGAGTCAAGGTGAGAATGGGGGGGATGTGAATAGGGACAGGGGGTGGATTTGAAGGTGGTTGATGATAAGTCGTGATGGATGATGCAAAGAGCACGAATAGAATGCTGTGGTTCGCCGGCCGAGTCATAGTGGGCGATGGATTACGGTGGATGGATTAGGTTAGTGTGGTCAAGAGACGGTGAATGGACATTACAAATCCAAACGGTTCATCAACACATAACGATGTTGAGTGCTGTATGGGATTTGAATTAATGCGTTGCAATTACCAGGCTATTCACACATTCAAATCATTTAATGTATCTATACAGAGCATCGGGGCGTCTTGGTAAGAGTGACAGTTACATATGGCACAAATGCTTTTATGCGTATTTGCATACCCTATACCTGGGCGTGTTATTATTTGCACCCACGTCTTTGCTTCGAGACAATTGAAAGTAACTGCTGGTTCTTAAAATTGATATATATCTTGAACTTTGGTGGAACTAAGATGTCTCGAGTAGTTACTGATATTGTTGGAACGTTGAGACGACATGAATATAGCCCGTAGTAGCCCTCCATCACCCGTGGAAATATAATGTTAATTGACATACATCCCCAACTTCAAACAATCGGTTGAGCAAGAAGTCTCGAATCCGTTCTTGAAAAGATACCGGCGCCTTTCATTGGTGCTATTACGCCCCTGCTTGTAATTCATCGTGAATTTCGAGATGATCGCTTTGTAATCCCCAGTCTTCAGCGCCATCGAGCGTCATGCCAATGTCGTACTACAGCGATATAAGAGCTCGCAATGGGCATATAAAGAGATAATTCACCACTAAAAGAACCAGAAAAACACCTTAATTTAACGCCTTACTATAATGCATATCGAAATGGACCGTGCCTATTATACAGCTTCTCTTGACAATGGTGTCAGCATCGCTTACACTGATACCAAGCCTGATGGGGATGACAAAGGTGTAGTGGTCTTGATCCATGGTTTCCCTCAAACTTCATACCAATTTCGAAAAGTCATTGGCCCTATATCCTCAGCTGGGTAAGTTTTATCTGTTAGCCATAGGGCAGGTACTCATCCGACTTAGATATCGTGTAATCACTCCAGATTATCGTGGAGCTGGATACTCGCACAGAACTCAGACAGGCTTCACCAAGACAGCCATGGCATCTGATATCCTGAAACTTCTTGACCATCTCTCTATCAAAGATCCAGTCCACATCGTTGGCCATGACATCGGCGGTATGATAGCATATACATTTGCCTCACGATATTGCGATCGCACAGCATCTGTCGTCTGGGGAGAATGTCCCCTCCCAGGAACTCAAGATCACGAGGACACCTGGAAGATACACGGCGTGCAGCATTTCCACTTCTGGTTCCACCAAGTTCTCGATCTCCCCGAAGCTCTCGTCTCAGGCAGGGAGGAGCTCTACCTCGGCCACTTCTACGACAAATACTCGTACAACTCATCAGCAATTACCCAGGAGGACTTGAACTACTATGTCAAAATGTTTAGTCGTCCAGGTGCTCTACGCTGTGGCTTTAATATTTACAGGGAGTTCGGCAAAGATTCGGAGGAGAATCGTGAGTGGGTTGCCAAGCATGGGAAATGTAAAGTGAGAGCCTTGGGTCTCAATGGCGGGATGAATCAGTTCAGCGAGATGGCTGAGCAGATGATGGGGGAAGTTCATGAAAGAGGGACTTTTAGTGTTGCTTCGGTGCCTGAGAGTGGACATTGGATTGCAGAAGAGAATCCTGAAGGGTTTGTTAAGGCGGTGCTTGAGTTTGTTGGAAAGGAGTAGCCGATCTAGGGGTGGAGAGAAAACTTAGGACCTCGATCCTAAATAATAAAAGACCTAGGTAACTTAGGATAAGTTTAGGATATATTTTACTAAGTTTATTTTGATACCTTATCTTATATTAAGGTCTGATATTTTCTTGCTCCTTGAGGCCAATGCTTGGGAGGGAGATTGATAATAAGAGATTGATAATCTTATCACAACGATCAGCAGCCAAGCACGCTTAACGTTATACTCCAAGATCTTCTGCTTGTCTTTAGAAAATGCCATCATGACAGATTATGTTCAGCAAATAGCATCACTAGAATCGTTGTGTTAAGGGATCTGAGGTTCGATTTATTCCTCCTTTTGTTGATCACAATACGTATTCTTTGGTCCCTGAGCCACTGACATAGCTCGCTGAAGCTCTTACAACCATTTTGTCCAAGAGATATGCATCGAACCAATCAAAGCCCTCCGTGACATCATGCTACGGAAATCTGCGGCTCTCACGAAGCCCAAGAGAAGCAGGTGACAGCTAAAATGACCGCATACACGCGGTACGTATCTCACAGGGCGCAAACCGTTTTTTGTGCACCAATCCCCGATGCTCCGACCCCGGGCTTAGCAAAACAATGGGGGGCGACATCGCCATATTTTTTTTTTTGTTTATTTTGCTTGGTAAGAAGGAAATGCGATAAGTTCTTTAAAGAGAAAACTATACAGAATATCTATGAAATAATGAGAGAGCATCGCTAATTGACCCCCTCCTCTCTCTGGGTCGCACTACTGAAGCGCAATTTGATCGAGTGCGATACTAGCCGACCGACCGACAGACCGAATCGTTTTCTCCTACTCCGGCCGGCCTCGGGGATTTCATCCGGGGAGTCTGTCTTTTTCTTTTTAATTCCACAGCAAAGACACTTTTATCAATCAACTTTCGGCATTCAACTTCCAGAACGGAACTCTAAAAAGTAAATGTCAACGTCGCAAACATAACGTCTCATCGATTGTTTCGATCGGGGACACAAGGGTGCTTTTTTCTCTGCTGTTAGATCGCCACTACTGCGAAACCTCTCCACCAAAAACCGCTACCGTCGAGTCATCGTCATCGACACCTCAGCTTGCCTTTTCCTTATCTCGACAACCTACACATACATACTACTCCTTCTTTCTCCCTGAGATTCCAGTGCTCTTCTTTTTTTATCGGACTCTGTTCGGTTTCTCTCACCAATTGCTCGACCATGAACTGAAGAGAATACGTATATACTCGAATTACCCCAATAATGGCCACTGCCGGCACAAATCGCCCCGGTGGCTACGACCACCACCATCAGAACCCCCTCCAAGCCGATGACGAGTTTTCGCTACGCCATATGATGGATGCCGAACCAACGGGACCCAACGACGGAAGGGATATTCTCAGCGGGAGTAAATCAATACCAGCTGCAGGCGCTGGGAGTAGCAATAATGGAGTTGTTGATATCACAGCGACGCAGAAGATGGTGTCGGCCATGTCGGGCAGTTTATTAACGTCATTACTTGGTATGTGTCTCTTTTCATCCTCGATGAGGCTTGTGCTAATCACCGTTGCACAGTCACGCCCCTCGATGTTGTCCGCGTGCGACTTCAGTCGCAAAAGGCTCCTCGATCGACCGTCGATTTCTCTAAACTCGCAATTACTACCACCTCACTCTCCCCCGCCCAAACCGCCGAACTCGGTATCACATCCTGCTGTCGCGAGGTTTTCTTCTCTGGTGGCAACGCCGAATTCTGTCTCGCTGCGCCTAGGATAGACGGTATCGTCGCGCCTCCAGCACCCGCCGAATGCGCCGTGGAAGAGGTACAGCGCCGAACCTTCAGCTCTACTTTTGATGGTCTGCGAAAGATTGCCCGCAATGAGGGCGTTACAACTCTGTGGCGAGGATTATCGCCCACGCTTGTGATGGCAGTCCCCTCGAATATTATTTACTTCACCGGTTACGATTATTTGCGATTTAACCCGAAGAGTCCATTTTCGCATTTCTCTGATACCTCGGCACCTTTGACTGCTGGCTCAGCTGCTCGTGTCCTTGCAGCTACCGCTGTGAGCCCGATCGAACTTGTCAAGACACGAATGCAGGCCGCTCACGGAGCATCGACGACAAATCACCTTGTGGAGGCTTTTGAGAGCGTGAAGGAGATGGTGGGATCACATGGATATACTGCGCTGTGGAGAGGCTTGACATTGACTCTCTGGCGAGATGTTCCTTTCTCAGGTCTTTACTGGTGGGGATACGAGTCGATACGATCAAGATTGACGGATTATCGTGAACAACGCCACGGTCACTCATTACCACTCGAGGAGGATTTGTCAGAAGCAAGGAGACGATCGCAGGTACAGGAGAACCATACTGAAACCTTTGTGGATGCCTTCACGGCTGGTGCTCTGTCCGGAGCGTTCGCATCTTTTGTCACAACGCCTTTCGACGTCGGAAAGACACGAACACAGATCTACCAAGACAGCTCCAAAAAGGCCAAACAAAGCAGTGCCAGCGCAGTAGCAGCCCCCGAGGAGCGCAGTATGGTACGCCTCCTCTGGCACATCTTCAAGACCGAAGGAGCCTCAGGACTATGGAAGGGATGGATCCCACGAACCCTCAAGGTTGCTCCAGCATGCGCCATCATGATCAGCAGCTACGAGGTAGGCAAACGAGCGTTCCGTGGAGTCAACGAGCGACATCTGCACAGCTCCAACGATCGTTCGTGATGGAAATGAACAGGATGGATAGGATGGAAAAAGGAAATACCCCCAAAACAACGGAGAGGAAATAGATGAATTTGGCGTTATAGGGGAGGAGGTGAAACACAAGAACTCTTCTCCTTGGGATTGGCAATTGCTGTTGCGATTGGTTTTCGTATGCTTGATGATAGACGGAGCACTGTACCAAATATGAGCGATAGATAATAATTGTAAAATATATATAAGATCAGAGATGTTAGCATTGTGGGTTGTCCTTGTTTAGGCGTGACTGTTGACAGCATAGTACAACAAAGTCCTTCAAGCGACTTGCGGTTGTATGACGCATTAGACATAAAATAGAAGAAATGTATTAATGATCACCAACATGAAATTGATTTGGTTCATGCGAGACTGAAGTTCTGTGCAGATGAGCCAAAAGTTGGGCAATATTCAGTTATCGAGGCCGCCATTCACAACGAAAAGTGGGACTTTGAAGACTTCAATCTTCAACATTTGGGTCTCAATATCATCATACTTGAACAAGTACCTACTTAAGGATAATAGTGATATAATTTTACTGACCAAGGTAGGCTTACAAACAGATCCCAGTTTCTCAGTTTCATTCTCCGGCCTGTTGCGTTTAACGACATTTCGGGCTCATCAAATTCTTCACATACCATCCACAAACTCACTAACACTCATCATAGTCATCATGTACACACTCAACTGCGCCGACGGCCTCTCCCTCGGCAGAGACGTATACATCCTCGACATACATAGGACATCTGTTGGTCTCGCTTCTATCTCATCAGACCAGTCCCTCTCTGTTCTCGACCCAACTCGTCTCTCAGCAGGTCCTCTGCATCGTCTTCCCACTCAGCACGGCAACTTGACCACATTGCGGGTATTCGATAGCAATGCTTCGATTGTATGTACTGCTGGTGAGAATGGAACTGTTGGTGTGTGGGATCTGAGACAGGGTGCGAATGTTGTGCAGTTTCAAGGTAAGTTACAGATATGAGTGAAGTGATGGGTAGGGAGAGTTGCTGATTGCGAGTGTAGCTAGCCAAGCACCTATTCTATCTATGGCTTGTAGTTTTGATACACAGACCATCGTTGTAGGAACAGAACTCCAAAACCACACGGCATCAATCCATCTCTGGTAAGCTGCCTCCTTACTACTCAAAGCTCCTCTCTAACAATCCCAGGGACGTCCGCTCAACACCATCATCCAGAGCACACTACCAAGAAGTCCACAGCGACGACGTAACAGACCTATCCTTCAACCCCTCAAACCCAGCTCTTCTGCTCTCTGGCTCAACAGACGGTCTCGTCAACGTTTACGACACCCGCGTTGCAGATGAAGACGATCTCACAGTACAGACCTGCAACGTCGACGCTTCTATTCACCGCGCTGCATGGCTTTCAGCGACAGAAGTAGCTGCTCTCTCTCACGATGAGCGCTGTGCTCTTTATGATGTCAGCGAGGAGCGCACAAACGGTGATGCTGTACAGGACTTTGGCGATATGAGATCTGTTCTAGGATGTCAGTACGTTGCTGATATCACGCCCAAGATGGATGGTAGCGGAGCTATTCTCGGTGCTGGAGCTCAAGAGTAAGACTAAACTCCCCCTTTTGTGAAACAAATGCTAACGTTGAGTAGTAAGCAAGGATTTGAGCTTGTCTTTCTTGCTAAGAATCCCAATGGCGAGGGATGGGCGCTGGATCGGGAGAACAGTGTTGGCTTGCCTGGTGCTCATGGGGAGGAGATTGTGAGGTCTTTCTGCTTCTTTGACGAGGCCCATGTGGTGTATACTGCCGGTGAGGATGGAAATGTCAAGGCCTGGAGACCTAATTAAGGAAAGAAGATGAAGATAAAACGAATAAACAATGGAGCGATCAAGTTATGCAACGTCGCTGTGCTTTTGACATATCCTGGCTGAAGACTTGTTACTGAGAAGTTATAGGTTTGTCCCAGCGCCGAATCATGAAGGAATGGTATCTTCTGTCAAGATGCAATTTCATTATGTATTATTTGATGTGAGTCCTTGGCTGCATAAGTTTCGACCAAAGCACGCTTTATCTGTTTCAAGGACGAACAGTAGTCTCTGTCGACCCAGCCATCCAAGTCCGCCTAACTTTTGAATTCATGAATGTTGAGCCTGCCGTTGATAGCCTTTGTCAAGAGAAGGCGTTAGCCGAAGGCACCAGGAACCGTAAGCATCAATACTAACCGTAACCTCTGATTTGAGTCGCCTATATTCCCATATTGCCTTCTCCCGTGAACTTTGTACCCTCAACTAAACTTATCATGCTTGCTCTTCACCTTAATCTCCAACAACGCCTCATGATAGTCTCCCTCCCTTCTCGCCCTCTTCAACCTCCGAACCTCATCCTCATCCAACCTCCTCCCCGCCGCTTCCTCCAACTCCCTCCGACTAATCTTCGCCAACGCCTTCTCCTCCTTCGACGCGCGCAGCTTGGGCTTGAACCGCGCCTGCATTCTTATCCTGAAGGTCGTATCGAACGAAATGGCGTCTGCGTCGCCGCGCACGTCTACGGCTTTGGAGGATGCTTTGTTAGGTGCTTTTATGGTGAGGAATGTGTCTCGCAGGGTTTGCAGTTGGAAGGTTCCGGGTGTGTCGCCGGTGGGGATCACGTTGAAGGATTCGAGGGGTGATACGGCTTCGGAGGTGGCTGATAGGAGACCGATTTTGTCGCAGGAGAGGTATCTGTGTTGCGCATTAGCTACAGGTATAGTTGTGGATGAGGAGGTTAACTTACCTTCCGTGATGGCCCTTGAAGCGAAAGCTCTCAGTTCCAGCAACGCGATTCGCGACCCAGACTTGTCGCACATCATGCGGTTCCGCCGTCGCAGGATTCCCATCAACGATATTCTCAATCGGAATCGCAAACACCTTTCCTGTCGTATCGCACGCCAGTGCAGAAGGTTCATCCGTCGGTAGAACAATCATGATCGGGCCAACAACATCAGTCGCTGCCTCAGCAGAAACCCAACTGTCGTCATTCTCTGCCTCTTCGCCCGTCTTTTGCAACTGCCCAGCCTCGTCGTCTACGCCATCGCGTTGAGATTTCTCGGGGTCTGTTCGCTTGCGCTTCTTGACCTTCTTGTCGCCTTTGAATGTCAATGGCTTGACCATGATCGGATATTCGAGGTTTAGCTTGATGATGTAGTTCAGAGGTTGAGGCCGACGGTCAACGCCGGGATACGGCGAGCTCCACTACGGGAACTGAGCTGTTCGGGAAGGTGATTGGTTATGTAATCGAGACTCCCCCGCAACTCATGGTAACCTCTGTAAGAGAAAAAGAAATAAAAGATGAGAATAATTCCCTGACTCCATTTATTCCTTTTTATCTGTCGTATAAGTTGAGTCATTGATTGTTGTATCTCGGTCAAAATGGTTGCCCAAGCTCAAGCTGTCTCTGTGTCTCTCCAGGACCTCAAGGATGGTACGTACCTCTTACATTCATGATAAGGTAGCGCCGCTGTCATGATGATTCTCCCTCGCCCTATAAAACAGCAGAGTCTAATATTCTATAGGCAACATTCCTTTTGAAACACTCAAAGAAGCCTTTGGTCCTGATTCTCTCGGGATTCTCGTCGTAAAAGACGTTCCCAAAGAGTTTCCCGAACTAAGACACCAAGCTCTCTCTTACGCTTCATATCTCGGCAACCTCCCCAAGGAAGAACTTGGTAAGTTGTCATGATACTATTAGACAGCCCTCACTAACGCAAGCCAAGAGAAGCTTGAGAACGCCAGAGCTAAGTATCTGACTGGCTGGTCGCTCGGAAAAGAGACTCTCAAAAATGGTCAAGTCGATACCTTCAAGGGTTCATACTACGCCAACTGTGCATTCTACATCGACCCGTCTCTCGAATGCGCCAAACCCACTGAGGAGTTCTCCATCGACACATTCCCCGAATATCTCGCCCCCAATGTATGGCCACCAGAGAATGTCCTTCCAGGTTTCAAGCCCTCTGTCACCTCGCTATGCCGCCTCATCATTGACGTAGCTGTTCTTGTTGCGCGTGCCTGCGATCGCTTTGCGCAAGAGGATATCCCAGGTTATCCAGCCGGATACCTAGAGCACGTTGTCAGCACTTCTAGCACCACCAAGGCCCGTCTGCTGCACTACTACCCTCAAGAAAATGACCCTGCTGCCAATGGCGGTGATGAGGATGATTGGTGTGCTACGCATTTGGACCATGGATGCTTGACTGGTCTTACATCAGCCATGTTTATCGACGAGCACAAGACAAGCCCTGCTGTGCCAGAAGTTACAAACTTGAACGGTGCTTCTCTTCCACCTCTTGATGAGCTTCCCTCATCCCCTGATCCTTCAGCTGGTCTGTACATCAAGTCTCGTACAGGCGAGACAGTTCAGGTCAAGATTCCTCGCGATTGCATTGCTTTCCAGACTGGTGAGGCTCTGGAGCGTATTACTGCCGGTCGTTTCAAGGCTGTGCCTCACTTTGTCAGAGGCGTAAGAGCTAGTGTTAGTGACGGAAAGATCGCGCGCAACACGTTGGCGGTGTTTACTCAGCCTAACTTGGGTGAAGAGGTGGATATCAAGCAGCACCTCACTTTCGGAGAGTTTGCTCGGGGTATTGTTGATAAGAATACTGTTTCATGATAGTTTGGTAGATACGCATATAAAAAGTTTTACGGTCCAGTTGTGAGGTACGTCTTGTTGTTTCGAGAGAATAATTATTCTTGTGATTTGTTCAAATGAGTGTGTGTATTTTAAGCTCGATCCAAAACAATCCTGACAACCTACACAATATGATATATAGCAAGATGTTTGTTTCTTCTTTTGTAGCATACATATAAGGAGGGCGATTTGTGCTCCATGGCCCACTTAGATATTACTCTAGTAGGGTAAAAAGGGCAGCACGGCAATTGAAACAGAAGCGAAGCTCGACAGAGATGATAATGCATCCGGCTTTACAATAAACCAGTCACTATCAGTCAAGAAGAGAAGAGAAAAGAAGAGCCCTGAGCCGAAGTATGCAGAAAGGGTTGATAAAATCACCAAGAATTCTGCCATCCAACTGGCAAGGACCAGGGTCACAAATGATACTATTTTAACATAGCGTTCCTGAATCATCAAGCACGCAAGTCAGGTTTGAGTGAAGCACTCGGCCGATTAGGCCCAAGCACCCACGAGACTCATGAAGAAAGCCCCGAAGAATACCAAGAGACAAGCGTAGATACGCTTACGGCCACGAAGGAATCGCCAGCTCTCGTCACTGAGGAAGTCCTGAGAAAGAAGCTCAACCAGCGAGGCAAAGGTGAGGAGTCCGGCCGAGATGGCATTCATGACACCAACGACAATGAGGCCGGTTTCAGAGTTGGGGCTATAGAGTGTGTGGGTGGCAAGACCAATGGCTTGTCCCAGAGGAGTACTGATGTTACAGTTAGTGGACGATGCTGTACGAATGGTAGCTTCAATACTTACGTGCATCCATAGGCAAGGGCCATGAACCAAGGCTGCATCTTGCCCTGAGGCCACTTGATGGAAGCGATTCGAGAGCCCAGAGCCAACCCTTCAAAGGTTTCTACAATCGTGTCAGTCCAAGTTCAAACCCGCCAACACATATGTCAACTTACGGTGAAAGACAATGGCAATGAGCAGAATGATGAATTCATTGCCAATCGAAACGCTGAGCGCCATGCCAATAAAGACACTGTGGAAGAGAATACCAAGCTCAAGCAAGACGCACTGGAGAAGCTCCTTACGTTGCTGCTGCTCTGGGGTCAAGCTTGGCATCTGTACAGCCTCGAGGCTCGTCTCCTCGAGGTTCTTTCTTCCGGATTGGGCGTTGTCGTCATCTTCGCAAGCTTCTTCATCCAGATTCTCCAGTCGCTCATCCCTGCTATTCAAGACAGAGAGTCCCTGGCCGATGCTGGACGATCGTCCACGAATAGGTCCCATATCCCGGATGGGGAGCATGCCTGTGCCTCCCATACACCCGCCACTGTTGGAGTTGCAATTCTGAGCGTCATTGTCGGTTCCACACGTGATCTCAGCAGGTGAAACATGGCGAGACGGGTGAAAGACCATCTCAATAACAGTGACAAGGAAAATGGCAGCAAGAGCAATGGCACCAGGCATGGCAGGGTAGTCCTGGTTCCAGAAGCTGCTCAGGCAAGGGTCCCCGAGAGAGATGAAGGCAGTGGGGAGCAAATGGACAAAAGCCGTAGCAATCAGCACACCGGTGCCGAAATGGCGTACAGCAAAGAAGAAACGAGTGGGAATCCTCAGACCTGGGAACTTGGTAGCCATGATAGGGAAAGCACAAGCAAGCGTCGAAACGCACAGGATGATGAACAAAGCTCCAACATGGAGAGGAGTGTTGTATTCAGCCTTGTTGACACCTCCAGTCTCGCAGGTGCTTCGCTTGCGGAGAGGCGAGACATGAACAGGAATCGGCTCATGGTCCTTGGGGGTTGAAGTCATGGCAGCAGTTACAGAGGCAGGGGAGTTCCAGAATGAGATGATCGTCGAGACAACAAGAACAGAGAGGACCCAGACGGTCCAGCTCCAGATGTGCGAGGCACATGACGAGAGGGTGCCTCGATGAAGACGGATTTGGTCATCACCACCATCTACCGTCTTGAGATACGAGGACAGTCCTGGGGTGAGTTAGTATTGGGGAATGAAACTGATATGTGGGTTATGACATGGGATAATCATGAGATTTTCTGACATACCCGAGATACGGGACAGTCGTCCCGCATCCTTTTCAGAGCCCAGGAAGGGCTCTGTAGGATGACACCCCGCTTGATTACTTTCATCGTGCGAATTCAACAGACTTCCACTCGTGCCTCCACTTCCGTCATCCTGCCCAGCATCAACATGCTCGCGCAGGTTGGAGATGCCATTGAGATCCTGACGCGTGGTGTTCATGGCGGCCAGAGGAGAAGGAGCTTGATTCCAGGTCAAGCGCTGGTAGAAAGATTCGTCTGCTTTGGAAAGACAAATCATTTTTGTTGGATCTTTTGGGGATTTGATGAATTCAGCCCCTAACTTTGTTGAAGAGGAGGACCGTTTGATAGGGGAGCCTGTTTGAAAGAGCAAAGTTTGTTTGTCGTCACGGGCAAAAAGGCCACGAATACAAAGTCTCGGCCGATTACAGTCAAATAGAGTAATTTCAATCGATGTTTGAGAGTTGGATAATTGCAATGAATAGGTACGTTACAATCTGGAAGAGGTTAAGGAATTGGAATTGGAATTGATGCGATGACGGAGATATAAGAGAATAGAGTTATCGCGTAGTGTCCTACTTTAAATCCAACGTACCTTACCTATCGGCAGACAAAAGGGTTAAAGCACCTGGATAAGCAGGACACAGCCGCTAACTCCACTCACCTGCTTCAGAAACTGGGGGAGGTGGGCATCCATGACCATGACAGCCCAGATCAGGTAAAGACTTTTTCTTGTATTAGTCTTGGGAACTCGATATCCCCGGCTTCGCCCGCGTGACCAGCAGCCCAAGACACTGACTCGGTCTGTCTTGATTGGCTCGTGCCTCGAGATACACGGGTCAATACGGAAAACCACGAGCATTTCCTTGTACCTCCCCGCAATCTCTCTCTCTGTCTCCTCCGTTGGGTCCCGGTCATCGGCCGGAAGAAGCTGGCGAGCGGGCGGCTCAAGAGCTCGGGAGACCTCCGTAGTTACCTACCTACGAGTTATGACCCATGAATAGAAGAATATCCACAAACTATTGATCACTTGATCACAGCTGAGTCTCAAAACTCTTACCCATGAAAAAGGTAGAAAAGTCTAGATTTTCTCTTACCCCACAAGAATACGATCGAATACGCTTCATCGAACCAAGCCAAACACCGGCAGAGAATTACAGCCCTCCCCGACTTGGCACGCCATGTCTATGCCGTATAACTTGCATGCCAATTCGGTGAATCGAGGTGAAAGCCGAAGGGTCCAATAGCTTCGAGCTATCACCAGCAAGCATATCTCGTCACTGGAAGGAAAACTAACTCCCTGCAGCTTGACCGCACTCACATGCGGTAAACTTCCAGGAGAGAAATGAGGCCCAAGTGACGATGAGACTGCCAATTGTTACATCGATGATGCGTCTGGTCTTGTGTTTGTTCCCGCCCATATATTACTGGTCTGCTATGATCGACAAGAGTCTTGGCTGTTGCGCTTGAGCCGTTAGGCTGTGAATAACCAACACTGTAGAGCAAGCATACATTAAGCTTCTTGACAGTGATTCGAGTCGAAAAGACGACGAAAATAATAATCAAGACATCAAGGTATGAAAGTTTGACGATATGGGTCTTATCTGGGATCATATACGAAATGGAGCTGCGATTACATAAGACGTGATGCGATGATGCTGCGTAATTGCATCATCCTTCTTCACATGAATACAACCTCATTTATACTCTGTGATAACCTCAAAAACACAGCATCTCTTCTCCCAACTCACCAAAATCAGCATCTCAGGTACCCAAACATGGCTCTTCCTCCTAAATTCGCCGGGCAGAAGCTCCAGTTCGCCCACCCTCCCGCTTCCGACTCAGCCGTCGCTCACACAACTCACACGCTCGAGTTCTACCTCGACTACTGCTGTCCCTTCTCCGCCAAGATCTTCCGCACCCTGCAAAACGACGTGATCCCCGCCATCAAAGCCAACCCAGCCTGGGCGTCCAGCCTCGCCTTTATCTTCCGCCAGCAGATCCAGCCATGGCATCCTTCGTCCACGCTCATGCACGAAGCTGCCCTCGCTGTTCTTCGTCTTGCGCCTGAGAAGTTCTGGGAGTTTAGCGCTGTGCTGTTTGATGAGCAGCAGGATTACTTTGATGTCAATGTTGTGAACGAGAAGAGAAATGATACGTACCGTCGTTTGGCAAAGGTTGCGGCCAAGGTTGGCGTTGATGCGGATAAGGTGTTTGATCTGCTTGTGATCTCTGACAAGCCTGGTGAGGATGGGGCGCTGAATGCGGGTAACAAGGTCACCAACGATGTCAAGGTCATCACCAAGATGAACCGTTTGATCGGTGTGCATGTCACTCCTACTGCTGTGTTTGACGGTGTTGTGCAGGACGTCAGCTCTGGATGGACAAAGGAGCAATGGATTGAGTGGCTACAGAAGAATGTCGTTTGACTCGAATCAGAGAATAACAGACATATAAGCTACAAGCTCTAAATAGAATGAATGAATCATGGCATAGCTATAGACAATTGAAGCTCTCACCAAAATATTCCGACTTGGTCATTTTTCCGGTGACAAAACGGCCTCTACCCTGTGTAAATATTCCCAACCTCAGCGCCTCTCCCCACTACCATCAGTTTTTGACATCGTTCTCATGAGCCTCTCATAAACGCCATAGTCTAACTCACATCAATCACAATGCATCAATTAAGAATGATAATACCGAGGCTACGGCCAAATCAATTGGCTTCTCTCACCCGCCAAGCAACACCTCTTCAATCCTCAGCCCTTCCCCGACACTTTCGCCGCTCACTTCAAAAATCTCTACAAGCTCAAGTGAGATGCTACGCCAAACCAACAGCCAAGAAGCCCATCAAGATAGAAGATGAGCTTAAGCGACAAGCTAGAGCTGTTTCGAAAGATGGCAAGGAATTTGGTATGTTAAATTGAGAGATGGATAGAAGAATAATCACTGATGCTGTTTAGAACTCCCCGAGAAACTCATCATATATCATGCTGGCACAGGCCGCATCACGTTCATGGCCATGCTCAAAATCACAACGCTCTTCATCGGCGCATTCTTCTGCTGTATCGTAGCACCGAGCTACATCAAAGCTGAAAAGCCCGAGCTACTCACCGCAGGCGGTATGTCCTCATCCCCCTCACCCTCGCCCTCACAGCAAACCGCAAACTAACAACCCCAAGTCGTCCTATGCGGCATCATCCCCGTCATATTCGTCACCTACATAACCTCCCCCTTCGTAACACATATCCACGTTCACCTCCCCCCTTACGCCCGAACATCACGCCCCATCCTAGAGCGCTTCATCAAGAGTCTCCCTCCCACAACGCCCCTCACCCTGACCACCATGAGCGCCATCTCCAAGCCTCGCTACAGCAGCATGCACGCCGGTGATCTGAGCCCTGTGCGACGCCGCCTCGGCCTCATCAACTACGTTCGTGACACCAAGGAAGAGAACGCGAGGCGCAAGTGGTATATGTTCCGTGCCGTCGGCAAGTTCTACGTGCAGGACAAGAGGCCGCAGACGCGGGTCCGGTATCAGAAGAAGACGGATAAGGTCGATGGTTGGATCTGGGATGTCATCAAGGAGCGCATTGACAATAGGGCGTTGAAGGCTGCGTCACCTTATAAGGGGAATGTCTCGATTTGAACCGTTTGTCCGGTTCTGTACTACCATATATGCACGATATATCGGAGAAACGGGAATGCTTTTCGGTTCGCTCGTTGTTGGTGTTACAAGCCTAGTCTCGTAAAGAAACGGACAGTATGGCCCAATGAATTGATCAACAGGTAACGCGGGAACCATTGCTTCGGAGCAACGGGCATAGTCTCCATGTGGAAAACCAATATACATGAGGTTGACCCTTGCTTTGATCGACGTCCAATGGCAAGTCTAGTTCATCAACTCAAGACTTCGTATCACGACCCCAGTCAAGAACATACCCCTACATGTTGGTCACCTGAATAGCACACATATCACCTAATGGTAGGATAGATCAATCAAGCTCTCAAACAATGCGCCCAGTACACGCAACCATGATATTTATACGTTGCATATCAGATAAAACCAATCCAGAAGCCATGACTCCTTTCTGTTTTTCCTTTGTTCCCAATGCTCCGCCAGAAGCCTTCCAGGTCGTCAATCACGTAGACAAATATTGGTACATGGATCCTGCCTGTCCAACCGAAACAAACGCACCTCACAGTAGGTACGGGCCCTTTCCATTTGTTGCTTGTGGGCCTAAATAATTCTCAACGCCTCCATCATGGCTCGTTATATGTTCTTGTCAATCCTGTCAACCCATCGTAATCAACCGGTTTCTGTACAATAATACAAGCCCTTCCTTCTTCTAGCTACATTCAAGTTCTGTCCGTGACGGAACATGTAATCAAGGACTGCAACAAGTCTGATAACTTGATAGGGCCATGTCCTTGGCAGATTTATCAACAGGAGCTCTGTTGCTGTAACCAAGTCCAGCACAGAGCTCGTTGACAGATCGACTTTCGCTTAGTAGGAACCAGCTTCAGGAGAATTCACCCTTGAGAGGTGATAGCTCAATCAGCAATAGCATCCTTTCATCAGTGTATGTTCATCACTGGCCCCATGCTCGCTTCAACCCACCCTCGTAAACGCTTGCAACCGACTCTTGCCACATTGCAGGGGTGACAAAGTTTGGCACCGGTGCAGACGAGTACTGAGATGGCGAGATTTGATGCGATCCAGCAGGCATTGAAGCTTGAACTGCCTGGATATCCTGGATAGTGGGAACTTCCGTGGCACCTGAGGACGACGCGTTAAGAGGGCTCGTGTGAGGTGGGGTGGAGCTGGATTGTGTGTGAGAGGTAGGCGTACCAAATGTGGTGTTCCATTGTCTATGGACCAGTTAGCGAGCTGCTAGATAACAGGAAAAGAGACTTCAACTTACTCAAATAGTCGCGATGGATTCCATGCGGGTTGGTCCGTCATCGACATGCTCTGGGGCATCCCAGGAGCCTGCGATCCTTGCGACATCATGACGAGCGACTGTACAGCTGGGGAGTCACTTTTGCTGTCCAAAGGGCCCGCGGAAATAGGAGGTGTAATGGGGTGGTTGGTATAACTGACTTGTTGGGCACCGTGTGTATCCAAATGTTGATCAATGGACCCTGTCCGGTGGATTACTGGTCGGAATGAGTCGTTACCGCGAGGAGGGCTGGAGTGGGTTGAAGGGTGAGGGCTGCCGTAGGGAAAGCTGGGTTTCAGGACGAATGGCTTTCGAACATCTGCTGAGAAAGCATCTCGTAGTGCATTGATCTGCTTCTCCAACTCTGGCATCGGCCATGCTGCCATCACCTTCTCCAACACCCTCATGTGCCTCGTAAAGTATTCGCGAGCATCAGTGTTGAACTCGGGGTCTGGTGAAACAATTGCAACCTATTGAAGACGAGTCAGTTTGTGTCGACGGCTATTCTCTTCGAAAACCTACCAGATGAATGACGATACAAGAGAGGCCTGCGTAAAGAGAGAAACTGAAGCCTCGCTGCATACACTGGAGTCCAGTAAGTCCAAACGAGTTGAGAGTTGCCTCCTGAAGACGGCACAATGCCTTGGCAGAGCTGTAGCAAATCATCATATGGCGTTTCCATTGTCCATCCGGGGAATTAGGGTCAAGGAATGACAGAATGGGTCGATGGAACAGAATCAAGGCCAGATAGTAGTATCCGTGCATGTTTCCAATAAAGTGCGAGGGAATCCAAGGAGGCGATCCATCTGGTGGGAAGGAAATGGCCAGGTCCGGAGGTAGCTCGGTCAGCCAAGTGTTGAAGCTTTGTCCCAACTGCTGGAATTCAGGGTCAACGCCCCAATCCTTTCGTCTTCGCAGTCTTGTGTAGACTTTGCTCATGGTAGCAACAGTTCTCACAACCTGAGAGAAGTAGCTGAAATTGCGCGAGATGTGGTATTCGGATTCTTCACAGCCTGGAACTGGTCTTGCAGGGTTAAAATCCACTGTGTTAAGTTTCACTGCGTGGTCATGTCGCCCTTGTTTATGTTAGCCATCGACACAACAGTATCCATGCAATTGCAACTGACCTTGAGGGGCTCCAACCATGACCTCGCAGACAAAGACCAGCTGCCATAATCGCTTTCGAAGTTGGCACTCAACCGGGGTGAACTCGCAAGAAATGCCTGCTTGGTGGTCCTCGTAATGCTCATCCAAGCCCAGGTCCTTGCCCATCTGAACACACTGTACAACAGTCATCCAAGAACGATAATAGTAGCCTCGCTTGGGTGCAGCTTCGCGAGCCTTGAGAATCATGAGCAGGGCTTGAAGTGTGCTAAGACGTGGAATGTCCATGAAAGAATCGGCGTGTCCTAAATTGTGTAAGTACCCTCACAATTTTCTCCATACAGATTGACAGCACTTACGGGAAGCTAGGGCAAGCCATTGTTGGCCCTCACCTGGGTCCTCGGCCAAACGTCCACCCATAGCAAAGATAGCTTCCAGAATCAAAGGCGAAATAGCGTTCCGATCTGTGTTCCATTGTTGGTAGAAGACCGTCTTGCACAACACAGGAACGTAAGGGTGAACATGCGTGAAATAAAGGTCGAAATAATTGAGTGCTGTGTCGTCATCGGGCATTAACTCAGGCGGTATGCGAATCTTGTGACCAGGTGCAGGCTTAGGTAAATTGGCTGGGAACTCCTCATCGTCTTCAATGGCTGGTTCCTCTTCACGTCTGAACGACGCCTTGTTCCTGAGATATGGAGCTATATAGACATCAGCAACTGTGTTGGTGAGCATGGGTATCATGAACCCTACCTGTACCGGTTTCATTGACCTTCAGCGTTCCCAACAGATCTGCAAGGTCATGATGTTGATATTCTCCAGGTGAGTAGGCCTCTGGGGAGGGTTGCTGCTGAGCTGCAGGAGGCGGTGGTGGCTGGTGCATTGGAGGAGTGGGAAACACATTCTGGCCTGCATAATGCTGTTCCATCATCGAACCGGAAGGCGCAACAGCACCATAAGGCATGCCTCCAGGTTGCTGAGAAGTATCGTACTGAACATGCTGATATTGGGCACTTGGGTCAGGGTAACCTGGCTGAGGAGCACCGTACATAGCAGCTGGCGAGATCTTTGTGCCTGGATTCATTACTTGATGTTGCATTGGCATTTGCTGAAACTGATCTGAAGGGTTCATGGGTGCTGTGTCATAAGTCGTCGAGTCGTTGGCTCCATCGAAACCATTTGGCCGTACGCAGTGAAGCTTGAGTCTTATGCAGGCCGAGCATGGCCATGTGTTGGTAGTCGCAGCGTCACATTTGATCTTCCGTCTTCTGCAACCTTCGCAAGCCCTCATAACTGCTGTGGTCTTAGCATGCTATTATTGAGTTTGTACATGCACGGGTAATTATACCTTTCAACCGTTTATGGCGGTTGTGCTCGTCAACGAACACATAGTCTACACATATGTTAGTTACCATGTCAAAACAGCACATGAAGATGCTGTATGTTCCCACGCACTCTTTTGGGTCTCGCGCTGCGTATATTGCTGCGGCGCAAAGGAAAAGGAATTCATTTGGGATTGTTGTGGTAAGATTCGGCGAACAGTAGGGTCGTCGTTTGACATTATAAGCAGTACAGTACAGTTCCGAGGTTTGTACCTCTAAGAACGTCGAGTATTGACGATGACGGTGGTCAACATGAAAAATCGGTTCGCAAATTCAGATAAACGAGAGTCGGGAGATCGTCGCAACAGATCGAGTAAATGGTAAATAGGTAGATGCTCGGAGTTTGGGAGTTTGCGCGCGATGGGGAGGAGAATCGCGGGGTGGAGGGATGCTCGTGGGGACAATGTCGTGACGGTGGGCGACAAAAGCAAGCAACGATGGGCTAACGTTGGGCGGTAAATAAGGTCAAGATCCAAGTCGGGGCGACAAGACAATGGAGGTGTGCGACGTGGGTAGAGTAGAGTAGAGTAGAGTAAAGTAGGAAGAGATATAAACTATTTGTCGTGCAAAGAGAAAAAGAGTAACGTAAGGAGGCGAAAATCGCAACAACAGAGACAGACAGACAAGAGATATTGTATGGTATGTACGAAAGCTAGACCAGCTAAAAGACGTCCAGTATTAGAATAAATCGAGTTGGCTGGCTGAACTGGATTGGACTGGACTGGCTGGAACTGGGCTGGCTAGGGGCGTGTCGGGGTACAGTGCTATGTATGTATGTAGATGATGGTGTGTCTTGGAAAGCTTAGAGCAAGGTAGTGGGAGTTAAAGTGAACCGCAGAGTCGGGTGTTTAGAGCCACTGCGTGTGGCTTTGAGTTTTGGCTTTGTCTCTCTTTGGTCTTGGTCTTGCTCCTGTTAGTTATTTCGTCTTTGCTTTTGCAGGGCAGGGCCAAGGGCGGCATCAAAACATGGGTGTGATGTTATAATATGTATCGGGGAAAGCTTGGCCTATGGGACTTGTCTTGAGGGTGAGTGACTGAGTGCCCTGATCTGTCTGCGTATGGCCTGGCTTAGCCTGGCCTGCGTTGGCCTGTGCTATGAGCCCTGCCTGGGATGCTTTGCCTGACCGTCAGTCCCTCCTCACCACACTAGAGACTAGTGACGAGCAGATGGTGGAGAGTTTCGGGCTGGCGTTATTTGGATCACAACAGGGCGACAAGAC